ACATTTAAATCCCAGCAAACAAATCGATAGGCACTTGGATTGGAGATATACTCCGCCTCAGACACTTCGGGGCAGTAGTCGTGGATATTGAAGTCATCATCGGGATTCTCCAGAGCCCGAATCTCTGGCAGTTGACGGGTGCGGGGTCGATCCCTGTTCCGCAGCAGGACGAGCTTCGAGATGGGAAAATATCTTCCGGCGCCCTTGTTATACAAAAAAGGCTCCACCTTGGTCTTGATGGCGTGATCAATCTCGGCAAACTGTTTCGTCTGGCAAGCCCTCTTCATCATGTCCACCAGGAGGCCGCCGCCCTTGAGGTTCACGAACTTGTAGAGGGCCTGGGTTGAGACTCCCGCCTGTTTTTTGACCCCACTGGTCACATTGCTCTCCGTATTCCCCATGGTCCGATCCCGATCCTTGCGAGCTCACTTTAGCCTGGGTTTTTCCGCTTACCAATCACTTTTTGTAGCGCGACATTGCTGGAGGAACTGGCTGCTCTTGGAATTTGCTGTTTGTTATGGCGTGGTCCTTGTCCGTTGGTGGCTATCGATTAAACATTCCATCGCTCGTCCGTTGCCAATGCAACAGCTGAACTTGAGCTCCTTTACGCTGTTTACGCTGCGTTGCTAGGACATCTCACCTGTTGCACCTGTTGCAACAAGTCCAGTTCACTGTGTTTGTTTATTTATTTCTTTCGTTTCGAGGGGGCAACTTTTAACGCTGATTGTTTTTATAGAAGGTGATGGCTTTTCTTAAGAAATTGAAGGAGTTGATCTAATTTTAATAATCGATATGTTAGTGATACAAAGGTTATTATAACTTGTTGATTGAGGAAGAGAATGTTCTCTTGCTTGAGAAACCACATTAGTCTTTCGGATATTATTTATTATTCCTATTCTGTATCAAAATCTACTTGTGGACGTCTGCGCGGCATATAGTTCAGTATCGCAGAAAACAGTGGCGGATCCAGAGACGACAGATTATATAGGATAATAGTAACATTTTTAGGTTCCAAGGGGGGAAATTTCCTAATTTGCCCCCCCGTGGATCCGCCACTGGATTGTAGCAGAAAACCAATAGAGTAAGCTAAATTATAGGGGGTCTTCTCATTGGGCAGTTGTTTCCGCTGAAAACCTAAGAGATCGGAAAATCCCAGGAAAAAACGCGCTTTCGTGGCGTCTGGGCACACTCGAACGCGAAACCCTCAGATCGCCCGATCTGGCTGGGACCGAAAAGTCTGGCAACACTGGTCGCTGGGTCTGGCAACGCTGTTTTCAGGTTTTTTCTCTCAGTGTAAACTAAGCAGTTCGCCCAAGCAGTTTGCAAGCAGTAAGTCAAGCAGTTGTCAGCAGTTCGGCGAAGCAGTTCAGCAAGCAGTTCGTCAGCAGTTTGACAAAACAGTCGGAGAAAGCAGTTTCGCACTGCTTACAAACTGCTTTGTTCTTCGAAGCCATCTAGAGGCTAAAAATCAAACTATTGCTTTCGAATTGTGCCGAGTTTCAACTCAGCGTATAAGTAAGCTATGGATTCGCACTTCCGCCTGTTGCAAATTAATTCAGCCCAAAAGATGCACTATTATATGGCGACCTTTGCATTTTTTATTGCATACTCTTGGGGAGCACGTAATAAGGGCCTTAAGTTTTAAACCATTTTTATAACAGTTTCTAACAGTTTTCCGACACCTGCTGCTATTGGGACAAAAGTGCAGCTCACTTGCATAGAGATGCTCATCTAGCTATGTTGCACTATTGGGACAAAATGGCATCTCACTTACTTTAAAAAGAATACTTTTGGTTAAACATTTTGACCGTTAAACCGAACCAAGGCTCTGCTCATCCTAATCTCACCACCCCCCACAAAGAAAAGTCAACCTTCTTATGTTGTTAAATTTTATTTTAAATGGTTTTTCTTGTTCAATTACAAATGTATTTAATATTATTGTTTTTGCGGCTGCTTTTCGTATATTCTGTTGTTGTTGTTGTTAACGCATTTGATTCTCGACTTGTATGTTGCTGCTATATGTTTTTATGTGTGCATAAAAGTGGATTCACAATCAACAACGTTACCTCGCTTTGTTTTGATTTCTATCTTTAAAATGCATTTTCCTTGTAAATAAAATAATGTCGGCATGAGTTTTCGTTAAAGAATTCTGTTGCCAGTTCCTCTGTGCGCACGTTCGATTCATTTAAATATGCATTGTATATATATTTGCTTTGGGCTTTGTTTATTTTGTTATTAAATTACATTTCACAAAATACAATTCACAACTACGCTTGACGTCAAGTTTCTGGTTTCCGTGTAACTTCCACTAATCCATCAATCACCGTCCAGCCTTCGATCCTGCTCTATCCTCTATCCTCTATCCTGACCTATCAATCTAAAATCCACTCCGCTATGAAATATTTTCTTTTTAAAATTAAAAATCGTATACATTCGCAAATTGCAATCAATTTCTGTTCATCAATTTAGTAAATGAATTCTCAATCACAAAAATTAACGGAAAATATTTCGAGTCGCTTAAAACTGAACTATATTTGCATTAATTATTTTTACAATTACCGTTTCATTTGGTTTTCCATTTACGTATATTCGTTACACTCGTTAGCCTTTAATATTTGTAAGTATAGATAAAAGCGTTTGCTATGTACGCCACGAACTAAAGGAGAAGTGCGGAGGTCCTTTGGGGACCCCGTACACCTTCTTAGGGAACTAAACTAAAGGCTACTAGCTAGCATATTTGTTTAAGCTTATTAACAACATCAAATAGTACGCGTAAGTGGTTGTATTATTATTTGGATTTGGGGTTTGTTGCGTTCGCATGTATAATATGTGTATATTAAACATTGTACGTCGTGTAGAAAAATTTGCTAATAAATGTTACTCTTTTTTGTTTTTGGTATTACTTTCTGCTTTGCTTGCTTAGCTTGGAGAGCTTCGTTTTAATGATACGTATAAGTGTTAGAGGGACTCTCTTGTAAGGGCTACAAATCAACAGAAAATCACGAAATAAACCAACGAAAAATACTTACTTGTCATGCATAAAAACAAAATATGGAAACCATAAGAAATTAAATAAGAAATAAATATTTTTATAATGTTTTTATTACAGCTTTCTCGTATTTTTGTTTATTCTGTTTATAGAAGTAGTTATAGGTGCTTAAAACATTACACACATAGTTGTAGCTATATCATATACTTTATAATATATACTTCCAAACATCCTCGCTCGTCCTTTTGTTTTGTTTCGTATTGAAATGGTTTGAAATGCCAACAGTTAAATTGTTGCTTTTACCACGTAATATAAATATTAAATTTAAAGACAATAGTTTTTAATGCTTGATAGATATTTCGTTTCCTTTGTTTGCCGTTTTTGTTTTGTTTTTGTTTTCGTTTACAACTAGGATTACATTTAATTTAATACTCTTATATAAATGTTTTAACTTTATACAATTTTTCTTTTGCTGCTTTTATAAATGCAAAAAATGCCCTGCGTTGGCTGCAAAAGTTGGCAATTTTATTTATTCATATATTAGTTTTGGAGAGGGGGGAATACGGGTTTTGGTAGTATTTTGCTTTTTGGGTTTTTGTAAAAATTAAATTCAATGTTTGAGCTTAAATGCAGAGTTGCTTTTGATGCTGAAATGCAAGTTACTATATTAATTCCACGCTTTTCCTCATCTCTCAACCAAAAAAAGTCGTCTACAAACTAGGCGCGATTGGAAAATATTTACAAAAACTAGTGTTCGATAATGCCTTAGGTTAGGTTAAATAATTTACAAATGGTTTCTGGCAACACTGGCCGCCGGCTCTTTGATAATGCGACAACCCTTAAATCGCAACTAACTTTCTACGGGCATTTAAAGTGTTTCCTTCTTTTTTTTTGTATTTATTGTTTTCTTTTTTTTCTCTTTGTTGTTTGCTTGCGTTCGTTATGTTTAATGTTTATCTTTAGGTTAAGGTTAATAGTGTAGTTAGTTTGATTAAAAGTTAGTTGTAATTTCGAAATATGGCTCGTGGCTCTGACTTGGCAGTGTGGGCAGATTCCGCTCCTAACTTTACCCCCCGAGTTCTCTACGTGGCGGTTACTTAATTGGTTTTGCGTTTCTCAGTCTATTTCGTTGAGGAAAGTGTGTTCGTAGAAGGGAAATAACAAAAAAAAAAAAAAAAAAGTGTGTGTGTTTTTTAAATTATTTTCGTTAATAGGAAAATAGCAAATGGCAGGTGGAACAAACGCGACTGGATGTTATCATATATTGGAGGAGAATCTCCGATTCGCTACGCCTAAGCTCTGCTCAACTGCTTTTGAAGACAAAGGTTTTTTGGACTAGAATCTTGTATGCAGAATGATTGTTTACCTCATCTATGATTTCTTTTGATCAAAGTCCTTATAATAACAGGATGAGTAGCGCCAATTGAAAGGTCTAGAGAAGGCTCTAAGCTCTCACGAGAGAAAGAGAGCCGCATTCTAGATCTGTACGCACATAAACGCTTGATTTCTCTCTCTTCGTTAAGCTTTCAAGAGACGCGCTATGCATCTTATTATTTTAAGGTCCTTAGCTTGACCCTGTTTCTACTACCAATCCTAATACACTTTCTTTTTTATGTAGAACTTTTATGAATTTAATACTCAAGATGTACTCAGAATCAGAAGGACTTCAATATACCAAAAAATATATACTTTTTCCGAATCCTTTTCCCTTAAGTATACCTCAAATTGGTTATAGAAACGGATCCTTGTTGCTCTTTCCACTTAATAAACAAACTACGGCTACACGAATTAATATGGCATTTCTTCAAACCTTTGCTAACTAGAGAAAGAGAAGGATATAGAGATAATGCAGACTGAAGGATATAAATGGAGAGAGAAAGTGTGTGCGAGCGAGAGCCTAAGAGTGCGAGTGAGACAGAGGCCGGGCGTGCGATTCGACAACCTTCAGCGGCTACAGCTGGCTGAAGCTGCTGGTCGATACCCAGTGCGCGGTGTCCGGGCGTACCATTAACTATATGGGACCGTAGTCGCTGAGCGCCTGGCCCGGATGCTGGGCACCCGGGCCGCCCGGCAGCGTCACCACCACGGAGACGGCCCGCGAATCAATCACGGACCCAGGTGCTGTGTTTTGGCCGCCCACGCCGCCATTGCCGTTGCCGTAGACATTGCCCGGATTGCCACCGTTGCCACCGTTGGCTCCGTGCATCAAGGTGCCGGGGGGAGGGCAGGGGCCCATGCCGACCGTGCTGCTGCTCATCGCCGTGCCGTGACCCAGCACACTGCCGCCGCCTAGGGTGCCGCCCCCAATGGTGCTGCCGCCGCCGCCGCCGAGGGTGCCGCCGCCCATGGTCGATGCTCCCCCGACTCTCCATGTCATACGTGGCTGGCCGCCGGCTGCTTGAGAACATGGTGGTGCAGGTGGTGGTGGCTGGTGGAGGCCACCGAGGCGCCGCCCGCCTGGGTGTATGGTGTGGCCAGCAGCGAGCCCGCCGCCGAGCCCACGGGCATGCCCATACCAGATCCGGCATAGGGATGCGGGATTGGAGGACGCTGCTTAATCAGCGCCTGATTGGCGCCCGTGCGATCGGGCGCCCCAAAGAGTCTCCTCCAGAAGCGTCGCCAGCTCTCCAGAGTCTTGCCGGACCAGATCCATACTCCTGAGGTGATGCCCACGGCCAGGGCCATGAAGTACTTGAGCATCAGCACGGAGTAGAGGGGCTTCTTGCCGGGTCCCTTGACCTGTGCACAGGGACAGGCCAGCGCCTTGATCCAGTCCTCGAAATAAGCCGCCTCGTACAGGTAGCAGCCGATGACAATGGTGGCCGGGACTGTGTATAGCACCGAGAAGATGCCAATCCTGATCATAAGCTTCTCCAGCTTGTCGGCTTTGACGCCGGCTCCAACGCCGCCCTGCTGCTTGATCACCGATCGAATCCTGAACAGCGACACGAAGCCGGCCATCAGGAAGGTGGTTCCAATCACCAGGTAAACGAAAAGCGGGGCCAGCACAAAGGTCTTCAGGTGATCGGGATTGAGGTTGCCCACATAGCAGATGCCCAGAATGGGGTCGCCGTCCACAGCCGACAGCAGGAGCACGGCCACGGATTGCACCGTGGGGATGAGCCAGGCAGCCAGGTGGAAGTACTGGGAGTGCTTGGTGATGGCCTCGTTGCCCCACTTCAGGCCGGCTGCCAGGAACCAGGTGAAGCTGAGGATGACCCACCAAATGGAGGAGGCCATGCCGAAGAAGTAGGTGAGTAGGAAGACCAGGGTGCACGAGTGCGGACCCGTAGAGCTCTCCCTCAGGAGCAGGCCATCGCAGGCAATCTCCTCGTTCTGCAGGAAGTTCCGGGACAAGTAGCCAACGGCCACCATGAAGTAGCAGGCGGAGAGGAAGACGATGGGCCGCTCCGGGTACTTAAACCTTTCGGTGTCGATGATGAATGTGGTTAGGGTCATGAGCGTGCTGCAGAAGCACAGACCCGACCACAGAGCGATCCAGAGGCCGGCGAAGTCCTTTTCTTCGTTGCTGAAGAACGGACCCTTGCACGGTATGCCGCAGTTTGGAACGCCGGCGATCCTTTGGACAGTGAGGTTCATGTACCAGTGGTGGGGATGATGCATCATTGGTGACTGCGCCTGCTGCTGCAGGAGCTGCTCCTTCCCCAGGAAGATGAGTGGGGAGCGGCACGAGCAGCTGCACTCTTTTCCGCTTGCCTTTTCTCCTTGGGGGTTTTGGCAGTTTTTTGAATTGCGTCCACGGCACTTGGCGCTGCTGGTGGAGCCACCGCTGCCACTGGCTCCGCTTCCTCCGGAGCCACTTCCTCCTTGCTTCCGTTTTCCTCCTGAGCCCGAGCCGCTGCCAGAGCCTCCCGAACCACCAGAGCTGCCGCCGCTGCCCGCCTCCGTGTAGGAAGGCTGCTCCATGCACAGGTTGTCGGGATCACCGTGGAGCGGCAGGTGCTCACAGGCCATGCGCTCCGGCCACTCGAAGCTGTACTGCTGCATGATGGGCGCACAACCGGACCGCGCTCGCTCGCACACACTCCGGCAGACGGGCAGGGGCTTGTGGTAGTCCTCCAGGCAAATGGGCGTGTACATGCTGCACAGGAAGAACTTGAGATCGGGCGAGCACTTGATCTCCACCAGGGGCCAGAACTGGTGGACCTCCAGGCCGGCCTCGTCCTGGGTCTCGTGGTTCATTTCGTTGGGAAAGGATGTCATATTGTAGCCGATGCCCCGGCACATGGGTATGGTGATCTCTTCGCACCGCAGATTGGGATCCTTTGGAATGGCCGGCACTCCGTAGCCAGGCGCTGGACTCGCGTCCAAGCCGTGACCGCCCATGCCCATGCCCATGCCTAGGCCATGGTCGGGACTGTGCTGCGGTCCGTCCCCTCGGCACGATGTCAGGATCAGGACGAGTGCGAGTACAAGGACTCTCAGTCGATTGTGGCTCATTTTGTGCGTGTTAGTGTAGTTCTTTGTTTGGGTGAACCTCTTGGGTTGTGCCTTGGTGGTGGTGCCGAGTTCCACCTTGCTGGCTCTTCTCTGCGCTTGCACCTCGCTCCGCGTGGAGGCGCCTCGAGAGCCGGAGAAGCGAGTTATCTTTCGTCCAGACACACAGCTCAGCGTCAAATCGTCAACGCTCGACGAACGGCGTGGCCTAGCTGGAATTAAACAAAAGGAGAAATTTTATGAATTAGTTATTTGAAAGCTTATAATTTCATTAAATAATCTAGAGAATAATCTTTGTAATTCTAATGATCCTGAATTTGGTTTCTTAAAGAAGGAATGCATTTTGTACCGAAATCTAAGACTATTTTTAGCTTTTAACTCTGTGACTGCCGAAAATCAACTGATTTTTCAAGTCTAGATTTTCCAAACAGACGTCAGAGCAGTTAGCAATAGCTTTTATGGTGGATCGCTGATGAAGCGGCGACAAGTGGTAACTGCTCTTTCCTGTTTCTGGGGTCTCTCTCTCTCTCCGGAGAACTTTTGCGCTTCATTTGTTTCAATTGAGCGCAGCGACACTTGGACGACACGTCCATGTCACATGTCAAGCACTCGGCACTCCAACCCCGCATCACTACGAGCGTCCTCCTCCTCCTCGTACCCCTCTTCCTCCCCTTTCTCCTCCTCAACAAATGTCAACCCTTCTGCCAATATTTGCTGACGCTGCCGGGCTGTCCCCGCTGATGATTCTGGTACTGATTCCGAGTCCAATTCCCATTCTGGAACTGCTGCTGCTGACCAAGAGGCGCATCAATCAAAATCACTGATTTTTATTAAATTTGACGGCGTCTGCTGGCTGCAAGCGCTTGGTTAAAGTGCACTCAAAGAAAAGGGTACTAAAGAGTTGAGATTTAAAGCAAGGTATAAATCCTAGGGTCTGTTATTAATTATATATTATTATTATATTTAAACATAAATGGAAACTAACTTCGTGAAGCCAAAGTTTGTATGCCCATCGAATCAAAAATCTATCATAACTTAGCCAAAAGTCCATTAATTTTAATTCAGAAAGCTTTATTATACTATTTTTTTCTACGTCAACAAATCTGCATTCTAAATTTGAAATTATAAGAACATCAAATTTTGAAAAAAAAATTTTAAAAATTTGTTTTCGCTCCAACATGTCTAGAAAGATTCTCCTGTTAATGCTGATCAAGAATATATATGGTTTATGGGGTCGGAAAGACCTCCTTCACTGTGTTTTAAAATTCTGACTAAAATTATAATACCCTGCAAGGGTTTATAAATTATATTAAAAAACGTACTTAGCCACTCAAGAAAATGCTTATAATTTCTTTAATATCATGCTTTCCTTTACTTAAAATTATTAGTTATTTATAAACAACCCTAGTTTCTCTCAATGTGTGCTTGATGAAAGTGTTTGCTTTGGCTCTCCATCTGAAAGAAGGGTGTGAAACGCTGATGGATTGGATGTGATGAGGCAGAAATTAATTCAAGACAATTGCTCACTTTCCGAGCACTCAAAATGGAGGCTGTAAAGCCACCCATCAAGTCGGGTTTCCCATTCCCGAGACTAAGTAATCATTATATATATGGGTGACACCTTTTTTATGTACCGTGTGGCAGCAGCAGCTGCTGATGTCGATGCCAGCGGTTTGTGGTCAAGTCAACCGGCAGCTGCTCCAAGATCCAAGATGCTCCAAGATCCAAAAAGGATACCCGGAGATGCTCGCCCCAAAAATTGACAGCTGGATAGAGCCAAGTGAAGGGCAATTTACTTGCCAGCAGCTTCTGTGCTCAAAGTCACGAAATTTATCTACAAGATACAGTTTTAAGCAAGTGTCAAGTGACATACATATTTGTGGCTTTTGCGGGCATCTCGTCTCGGTTTCATATTTTTTTTTCTTATTCAGTTTGGGATCTCAGCTGCGTGTGGTCTAAAGTCTAAAGATTTTAAAGCCCTTGCAAAAACTGTCAACGGCAGCTGCGAATAAAGTATAGTTGTTGTCCTGTTTCTCCCCTCCACTTTGGACTTTACACTTCTCACAGCTAACAGAAAGTCCTTTCATTGTTTTTCCCCGAATGAATGACATTTTAATTAATAACATTTGTGTGCGTTAGTCGTCGTCCATCATCCCAACAACCCCCCCGAAAAATAAGTTCCAGAGTGCTGCTCTTGGTGAAACATTTTTCGTGTTAAAATGTTTGCCGGGCACTTGAAAATAATTAAGTAAATACGCCACGGAAAATGTTTCTAGGACAGCGTGGGGCGAAAGCCCAGGCCCAAGCCCAAGTGTTGTGATTACAACTCGAGGGTAGCGCCAAAAATAAACGTTGAAATCCAATATCGAAATGTGGGCAGCAGGCAGGCAATCGGCAATCGGATCGTGAGAAACAATGCCAGGCGTGAGTCGGCTGCTCCGGCTATCGATTACAGCAAATGCATTCAGCGAGTATACTATATAGTGGGTATGGAGTATATAGAAGTAGATGGAGGCGTCTATCGGCTGTGGAGATGATTGCGCAATGGCCTCCTACTCGGATGACAAATTCAGCTGGCAAAGAATCCGGTGGCTTGTCATACGTCAAGGTTGGAGTGGCATAATTTGAAATTGAATAGTTGGAAATAAATATAAACGCAAGCTTCTTTGAAAGAATGCTAGAGTCACACAAGATTCCCCGAATGAAATGTTTATTACATTGGCTTGGCAGGAAGTCGAGTAACATTTCCTCCAAAACCGAGAGTGAAAATTAGCCTTAAGCCAAAACAATGCGACAATCACCGAACGGAAGGAACGGGGGAAAAAGTCTAATTGGTTTGTCCGACGCAGGAAAATCATATTGAAATGCAGGGAACGTGACTAAAATGGCAGACCCGACCCGACCGGACCGTACTGAAATGAAAATAAAGAGGGAAAACAGGCGTATGTACATGTGTTTGGTTATGGAAAAGCCACGTTCACAACTGCTTCCACATTTAGCCAGCCAACCACCGTGGCACTTGCTCTTGTTATTAAAGCCTCAAGTGGCCAGAGGAGTGTGTATGCGTATGACCAGGCACATGGGATCTTTGGGTCCTCTTTAGGAACAGTCCCGGGCCCTGTTCTGATTGCTGGCCAACACAACTACGGCTAATAGGTGGATTGTGTTCATGGGAAATGGCCTGGAAATAATAGCAAACGTGCTTCTCTCGAGTGGAGGGCAGAAATATAAAAAGCCAGAATGCATAAATATTGTTTTTAATAGAGAAAAATGTCTCAAGTGGCGGTGACGAATGGATCACTTCTCTAAAGACTCTCGGATTCTACGTTTCTCTGCTTCTCTCAGTGTTTGTTTTTTGGCCGATCGACTTGGCCCATGTTTGCTTAGTGATTTGGAGTTTCTCTGACTTGGATTTTTAGTGCAGACTCATATTGTTTATTTAATTGTTAACAAGCGTGTGCGGCTCAGACGCTACAAGCTCGTTACGAGTAACAAATTATTACTCGCACCGAATCCATGTATTTTTGCCAATCATTGTGCCGGCGAGAATTTATACAAAATCACGCTGCCAGCAAGTCTCAACGATGTTTGTCCAAGCTCTCCAGCTCTTGAGATGGCTTAGAGATCTGGCTCTGACTTTCCTGGCCATGTTTGCTAAAGACTCGAGAATGCAGATACACACATAAACATATATATGTGTGTGTCTAGAAAGAGATCCCTGATCGGTGAATGGCTGCGCTTCACTGCACTAAAGAGGTCGTCTCGTCTCGCCTGGCCGGGCGGAAGCTGTTACCAAAGTTGGTAGCACAGCAGCCACAGCAACATCAACGACAACGACAACTACAACCTGACTGTTTTAATTAAACAAACAAGCTGAAGACACAGCGGACAGACGACACCAACGAGCAAATAAGTAGCAAGTGCTGGCAATTTCACAAGGTACAGTCAACACCCAAGACAAACAAACCGCACAAGGCGAGCGGTTCCAGGAAGGTGCCATATCAAGTCAACTCTAAAAGGAATGCTCTCATTTAAATTCAAAGAATAATTAGATATGCACTGAGATTCATGTATTTCTTTGGATTTTTATAAGATAGCTGTATTTATATACTTTATAAACTTCCTTAAACCTTTTTCATATCAATGAAAGCTATTTAGGACCTTAGCTTTACAGCCTAAAAAGACAAGGTTCCCAGGAAAAAGCTAAAGAAGTGCTATAAAAACTTTCCAAATTTCCAACTCAACCCTTGATAGAGACATAAACATTTAACAGCTAATATCATTTACAAGTACAGCTTAACTAGAGACTCTAAAGCTGGAGGAAGTAAATCGGGACTCCACTCAAGATAATGATGATAAGCAATTAACCAAACAATGACCGGGGACAGCAACGATAAACCTTCATCGTTTCGGAGTCAAAAGGGAGAATGCTAATCGATAACTTATCGCCCCGATGGAGGCCAATCAATCAATCAAAGGCAAAGTACGCGAAAAAAAAGAGCGGCATCGAACAAAACGAGTCGAAATCGTTGGCGGAATAAGAAGCGGAACATGGAGAGTCAAGTCAAAAGGAAAAACTTGCCAACCACAAAGCACTTAAACTTTCTATGGAGGAAATTTCCTCCATTTTTTTTTCAGACTTTTTTTTTATATATTTTTTTTTTTTTTGGGATCCCCCCTTTCCCCAACCCTCAAAATGCAGCACACACAAAGAAGCGTTGAAGCAGCAGCAACAAACTCGAAGGGCTAGCAGGTGCAACAGTCCTACCCACATCCCATTTGCACAGTTTTCCTCCCGCCAGCAGTGGCCTTGGCAAAAGCAAACCGCGAAAATCAATTGAAAAACTCACCGTGAAAAGCGGGGAGCTTGCTCCGGGAGTCGGAGCTGGAGCAGGAGCAACTGTTTGCCTTGTTGGCGGCGGCATCAAAAAGCGCGTAGCGGCGCAAAATGAAAACAGTTTGTCGACACGGTAGGTTCCAAAGTGAGAGAGACAGGTAGCTGCTGAGCGAAAGAGAGGCCCAATGGCAACGTTTTTATTTTCCAACCAAAAAGGGGGAGTTTTCCCTTCCACACCCACACCCACTCTCACTCCACTCAAAGTCAATGCAGACAAGTTCCATGACCTTACAAACGCAGCGAGTTCAAATGGTTGAAAAGCAAGGGGTGCGGAAAATGGGAAAATGGGGAAAGAGGGGACCGCTCTGCTTGGGT